GCAGTGTTCCGCAACCTTTTTCTACTTGCGGCACACCCATGACTCACCCACGGCACACCAAAATGTTATTCCCCTCAAAAACGTATATTCTACTATTAATAGAATTACGTAATGCCACTAACCTATTATTATTGTTATTAAACAGACATCAACACCTACCTGTGAGCAAATTAATTTTACATATAATTTCTTAGAATACATAAAAATGCGTGGCTTGTAAAAATAAACAAACATCATCTTATTTCATCAGTGCTGTGGCAGAGTATGGAATACAAGCATAAGAAACACAACAACTGTGATAAAAATATATAAATAAAACTTGAAATTAACAGAATATGTAAAAGTTCACGTCACACTTTTACCATGTGACGGCACACCAGTTGCGGAACACTGCTCTACTGTATATTAAAATAAATTCCAAACTAGAATACAGAATTACAAAATGAAAATTAAAACAATTTATGAGATACAGTGAAACCTAAATCCATCATTTTTGGTGGAACTTGGGGGAAAAAACCACTGATGTGGGAAAATGATTGACACAGAAAATTTATGACATTGATGTTTTTCCAGTGATATAGCTATATGATGGCTTTCTGTAATACTAAACGATATAGCACTTGTGCACAAACGTGCATTTATTCTACATTTTAAAAATTTGTTATTACTGTAATTTGTTCTATTTTCTTTTGGTAAGAATACCTAATGTATTGATATATCAGAGGCAGCCAATCATAAAAATTCAAAATTGTGTTGGGCCTCCACTTATGTATGGAACAGCATCATATATCTGTTGTTCTTTTTACTGGATAACAACATATGCATACAGGATGGTAGAATTTACACATCTATGTACCGCAAACCCACGTACAATCCAATTTTCATCCCATCCTCCTCATATGATCCCTTCCAATATAAAGAAGGTGCTTTTAGAGCTTTAGTTATAAGGGTGTTCACACACTCTTCTACTTTCAAGAAGAGAACTCATTAATTGGGGTAAATAAAAACAGCTGGCTATCCAGCATGAGTACCCACCTAGATTAATAAAAAGTTTAGTGAACAAATATGGAGAGCAAGACCAAAATACAAGAAAGGCAGAACATAAACTGAAGGTTGTGCAGTATAACAAGATCCTGATGGCTATATACCAAGAAGTGGCAGGAAACAATAACCTTTCCATGGTCTACAGAAGGAACCCCGTTCCGCCATCTATATGCTTCTTAGAAACACCAAAGACCCTCACAATAAGATATTACTTTCAGGACTCCATATTGCTTCAGGACAACAGAGATGGCTGACACTTACAATACATTAGAGCTACAATACATCCAATAAAACAGCGTTTGCAAGAACATCTCATTTCAATTAATAAAAGGCTTCAGCCACATATGTCTTAGACAAGGATATGCACATGAACATTGATAATGCACATTCACCACACATGGGAGCCTCCTCTACTTAAATACTTGGAAATACTGGAAATTTACAAGGCCAATAGAAACAACATGGCTATCAACTACAAGGACAACAAAATGTTATCTCCAGCATGGAGGGCATTATTGGATATTTAATATTACTTTTACATCTAGATATTTACATCCCAATACAAACACATGACATCTGACGGCCAATCAAATGTTTGTTTTATATTTTAAACGATTACATTCCATCATATGTTCTATTCTGTTATACGTTTCCAAATAAGTTCTTTAACTCAAGGATGATTGCTAAAAGCAATTGAAAATGTTTGTTTTTCTCCATCATTGTGTTTCATAAGTTGGATTTTTGGTTGTGTAAGTGTTTTTAAATTATCAAGCTGTTTGATAATGCTTCAAACCACTCCTGGCATCTTGATGATCTGTGCCCGGATGTAAAGGTAATCTGCCTAAAAACACAACTTCTATCCTACAGCCTATGAACCACAGGGTTATAGTTAATGTTTAAAAGCATAATATTTGCACACTACTTTTTCCAAAGCTGTAGCAGTAATTGAAAGTGGTGAAGTAACTCTTTCTGATTTTTTAGAAATCATATAACATTTTATACTGCATAAAGAACATTAAATCAGCTTGGGAGGGAGTGACAGAAAGACATATGCAAAGCATATGGAAAAAAATGATTAGAATGTTTCATGAATAATTTTGAAGAGTTTGACAAAAACAAGTATATTGATGTCATATATAAAACAATTGTGTAAATTACTATTTTGCTTAATCTGGATGTTGAGTGGAAGATATTGAAGAATTAGTGGAATGTGTAGAGGAAGAGCTAACTAACAGAGATTTAATAAAATCAAAAGCATACCGTGTTTCCCCGAAAATAAGACAGTGTCTTATATTAATTTTTGCTCTGAAAAATGTTTTATGTCTTATTTTCAGGGAATGTCTTATTTTTTCCAGGAAGAAGAATTCACATTTATTATTGAACAAAAATATTCCCAAGTCGAACTTAGACGAGAGTGACGTATATCCAGTGTGTCAAACTGTCGCCTTTTTATAGCGTCAACATCGGACTCGATGACCAATTAGTGCTTACTGAACCGTAGCACTATGCAAATGTCATGTAGCATGATTCCCGGCCGACCAATTAGCCATCTCCAGCCGTAACGTTATGCAAATCTGTGATTCCCAAGCCATAGTTTTATGCAAATCATGCCGTGTGGCGTAATTGTCTGCTGACCGATCAGTGGCTGTACTTTCAAAAAACCAATGGCCACTTTGAACCATCTGTCAATGACCGTTATGTCTAAAAGAAAACTTCGCTAGGTCTTACTTTCAGGGGGAGGTCTTATATTTTGCAATTCAGCAAAACCTGTGCTAGGTCTTATTTTCTGTGGATGTCTTATTTTCAGGGAAACATGGTAGCAACAGTTGGAAGAGGAAGAAGCAAACAAAAAATGAAAGTATAAAAAAGTTTACTGTAAAAAGCTGGTTGGTGTATTCTCGAAAATGAATGCAGCTATATTAGAACTAGAAAGTATGGATCTGAATGTTGAACATGAACAGTTCACAAAAGCGGAATGGCAAATGAATGAACTTTTATGATGCTAGCATCAAATTTATGAAGAAGAAAAGAAACTTACAAAGCAGATCAAATAATGAGATTCTTCTCAAAAGCTACACCCCTTCCTACTCCTAAAAGTACTTCCATTTCCTCATTGCCATCTCCATTACCTCGACCATCTACAGCTCCAGATAACTCTGATGACGCTAACGACCTTGAATCACTACCGCATTTTGAACGATTTGATGGTTAAAATATTAATATGAATGTACTCTTATTATGAATAAACTTTAATTTTTTTTTTTCTGATTGTATTTTTACATTTTGTAATATATAAGAGGTGCAAATTAAAACAGTTATCAAGTTGGAGTTTCCTTTACACTTTTTCCTTATTCAGAATAAATAAAAATTCAGCAATGAATTGCTTAACTTTCCTGGCAACATTTGGTGGTACAATCTGTTATGATATTTTATTAAAAAGAACTTTTTTATAGCATGCTCATAATGGTTTTTAATTCTTTATTTTTAATTTTAAATAATATGTGTTCCACTCATGTTAGAACAGTCATATTTGATTTTAAATTCTGTTCACCTGATGACAAATATAAGTTCATTGAAAGCACTAGCAATATAAAAAAACTATTAATGCTGTACTCAGTGAGTTTTTCCTTCCTTTCATTTCAGTAAAATCATCATTAAGTCAGACCCTACTTGAGATATGACACAAACTACTTTATCACTCAACCCCCTCAACCTTTAACCACCAAAATTTAATAGCACCAATCCCCTAATATACAAACTTCCCTGCAAAAATTTCAGAAAATTTTGACAAAAAACACAAGAGCTAGTAAGCTTCAAAGAGGGCAAACAAAATCATGCCACACATACGCAGACATCCATACATATAGAAAAAACCTCTGAATTTTTTTGGATTTCTTGACATTCCAAGGTGCAGAGTCCAAAAACGTAAAAATCTTGGTGGGTCATTTTTTGACCAACTGCCACACTTTCCCTCTGTTATATTAATATATAACAGCCAGGAAAGTAAAAATTATTCAGCTCCTCATCTATCAACCAATTCACTTAAGAACCTAGTCATAGGAACATAACTCTGTCAAACCTGTATATCTCTTTTGATATACTTTTCCTTCTTTTGAAATATGTTTCCATATTTGAATATAGGAGTTTTCTAGTATTTCTTTTTTATCTATCTTAACATCAATATTTATGCTAACTTTTATTACCATCTTGTATTTATTTATTTGAAAATAAACTTTTATAATGTTTAATTTTAGATTTAAAATATCTCAAGAGCTGTTTTAAAAATTGACCTGTAAAATTTCAAACTTTTGTTATAATTAAAAATAAAGTATAGGAAATGAAAATGTTTTCAATAAGAAATAGATTACAAAAAGTTAATAAATATAAAGATTATGAAATGAAATATATTATTACAACAACATGTAAATCAGTTTTAATTTAATTTTGAAAATAATTTACAATAAAATATAGAAAATTATATTACTTCCTAGAATGAAAATTATATTTTTTTGTTGAATTTAATAAAATTCTATTAAATAGAAAAAAATTATATTAAATTTACAAAACTGTCCAATTTACCTTTATAACTGGAGGTGGTTTTTCAAATAAACTTTTATTTTCTACAAAATCCTGAATCCTAAGTGTTGCTGACATAATAATCATTTTAAGAGGATTTCCTTTCTAGAAAAAAATGAAAAATTAATTTAAACTATTAAAATCATAATTTACAAAACTCTGAGATTCTAAAAAATTGTTACTTTGACAGTGTATAAAAAAATAAATAAAACTTTATTATAACTTAAATATGTTTAAAGTTTAAAAATAAAAATTTTTTAAAATTCATAATTTTTAAATTATCTGTATTGAACCGTCAGAGCTGTTGGCAACTTTCTGCAAGCACTTCATTTGCAATGTTAACTTCAAGAATTAACTAAATTATTTAACACTTTTTTTGATCTGTTAAAGAAGACTAACTGTTGGATATACTAATAGTAATAAGGAAAAGTCTATATTAATAAAAATGCAACATTCTCCAGTTAAGTGGGGAAGACTGCCACTCAACCGGACTAAACCAGTGAGTGAGTAAATTATCTGTACTTAATTATTTAACCCATGTTTAATATTTAATTTAATCAATTTTTCCTAGTTAAAAGTTACCTTATTATAAAGTTCCATCCAAACCAAATTTAGTGAAATGGAATACATGAATGACAAAAGTTTAAAGAATATTGAAATAGATTAATATATTTACAGAAAGATTTGATAGATATCTTTAAGAAAAAATCTTTATTATAGAATATGCTGAAAGAATTTATACTAACAATTATTTAAAAAATTACACTTCAATCTTTGTCTAAATGAATTAAATGTACAAAGCTTATTTAATTCATTTGGAAAAGTGTATTTAATTCGCTTAATGCATTCAAGACATAAATTATTAAGTTTTGTTACTTATTATGCTAATGTAAGACAAGTGTCAAAGTAGACAGTATTTCAAAAATGTATTTGAAATAAATGTTTTTATAAACTTAAATTAAAATAAGTTAGGATAGACAACTTCATCTGTTGAAAATTTAAGCTCATAAATTATTTTTAATATATAAAAGTTTGAGATAAAAATTTCTAAAATGTATCTTTTAATCACTTTTTATTGTACTAATAATTAAAAATATTTTCTTTGCACTAAATCAAACTATTTTATAACAAAATAGTATCTCTCTACAGCAAATTAATTGTTAAACTTACACTAAATCTCATGATTCATTTAAATTGAAAACAACTTAAAATAATACTTTTGTCATAACACTTATAATGTGCAATATCAGTCTTCAAAAATAAAAAATTTAATTTTTCTTACAAGTTCAAACAGTAATTAAAATGTACAAAATAAAATTTATTGATAATATCAAAAATTTCTAAAACATTTTTAGATTTTATTTTACTTACTTTTGCCCTTAATCGTACAACTCCTGATAATAATCCAATCAAAAGATCTGAATGCATACTTCTTTCATGGGCTTCATCAATTACAATTACATTATATTTTGTTAAAAGGAAATCCTGAAATATGTAGACGATTTTATTTAATAAATAACATTTGTAACATTTTTAAATATTGGAAAAATCTTGAGCCATATATTCCTAAAATTATTAGCTTAAGTACTATAATTTTCAGGATAACCTATTGATTGTATTTAAAAATTTGAAAACAGATGCAAGTTATCCAATGGTGCAGATTATTTGTCAATTTTAAATTTCAATTATAAACTCAATAAATAGAGCATCTTTAATAATCTCAATAAGAACATCTTTAGAAAATGTAACAATTCCTTTGTTTGCTGAGGATACATTCATCTTCCATTTTTCTCCAAAATTACCAAAGATATGTAAACACATACCTAATTTTTAGACCTTTTCCACTTGTTTTCTGTAGGTCAATCACATAATTACCATATTTACTCAAATCTAAGATTGCAATTTCTACATGCTCACCTAAAATGTTTTTTTTTAAATAGATAATTTGAGACAAACTTATATCAACAGAAATGATTGGTATTTATTGCAAGTAAAACGCTAAGTATCATCATCTTTGTGGTATCAAAATCAAAAACTTCTTCATTAACCATGTTAGGCTCTTCTGAATCAGCAATAATGTTGTTTTAGTCACATTCCTCAGTATTAGTTTTTGTCTTAATTATTATATGTGTAGTTTTAGTTTGTTTACTAAATCTAAAACTACACATATATAACAACTAAGTTAATTGAGTACGATTGCATGTGAGATGTGAATTGGTCAATATCAGATCCAGTGTTGATTAGCATAGTAAACTGAAACTTCACTAATCAACAATGGATTCGATGTTTATATCTTCCCAAACATTCCAATTCAATGCCATTTAAAGCATCAGAAATGCAACATTTCTTAACAGAGTACTGCACAACTTTTTCTAAGATGTTAATCCAAGTACTTATGATGTTACAGTAATAGATTAATGAGACTGTGCAAAGTTAACCTCTTAAATGTTTCATATTACAAATATTAGTCTAATAAAATCATTAAAATTATGCAATGGAATTAGTGACAGAGAAATAAGATGCACAGCATTAGAGATTACTAATTATGACATATCACATGAAATCTAAGACATCATCAAATCTAAGATGCATCCTTTTTTTTCAGAGATACTAAAACCTAAAAAAGTGTCTTACATTCAAGTAAATATTGTATATGGTGTTATTGGAATGTATACTACATGGCATATATACCAGTGTCTGGTGCTATACCAAATCAAAGTCAAGACATAACTACAAAAAAAATGTTTGTTTACAAGCTGTTTGTGTATGCATCTGTGTTTAAGAATTCCTGACTTTGTAACACGTTTAGTATGACAGCCTTTTGTAGAGTGATGTAAGTGTTGTTGTGAAGTTCTAATGTTTCAAGACTTTTAAGTAATTGGATGCAATTTGAAAAAATTGTAGACCTGTAAATTCCCACTGTCGTTTGTCTGTCTTTCCTTAATCTCAAGAGTGGAGTTAGATAGATGAAAGATGAGATAAGATATGGAAACCTTAGGGGCTAGATGCCCTGATTAACTATATACGAACTTCTGATGCAAACCAGAAGTTACAAGGGGGACCCCAAAAAAAAAAACCGAACTGAGAACGCGCTGCCATTCGTAGACATAGTAGAGAGTTCTCCCATTACATGGGGTTACTAGAGACCTTCACGAAACAGCTGTGCAAATGGCATCAGTTTGTAGGTTTACATTTAAGCATAGTGTTGTGTTTCTCTTACTGTTATTTTGTTCTGCCTGTGAAGTTCTGGGCATCCTTCAACATTTCAAAATGATGAAAACGTTGAAAAAATCCACCAAAAAAGTGTTAAGGCGTCTGCAAGAGGATGTGCAAAGGAAATGCCTGAAACTTTGGCGATCAGGTGTCTGGTTCCTTCATCATGACAATGCCTCTACACACACGGCCTTACGAGTGACCCACTATTTGGCCTCTCAGGGATGGCCTGTCGTTCCCCATCCTCTGTATTCACCAGACCTAGCCCCATGCGACTTTTCTGTTTCCGAGAATGAAAAAAAATCTAAAAGGAAAGTGTTTTGATGATGTGGATGCGGTAAAAACAGCTTCCCTAAGGGCACTGGATGATATCAAGATTGAAGAGTTCCAGAGATGCTTCAAACAGTGGGGGAAAAGACTTCACAAGTGCATCACATCTAATAGAGAATACTTTGAAGGTGACTGAAGAAATTTTGTAAAAAAAGTTAATAAATAAAGTTTTTATACAAAAAATCTGGGTTTTTTTGGTCCTCCCCACGTATGTTATTTCAATTCAAAAGTTTTCACCCAAAAGGTGTTAGAAGATGACTGGCACAACTCTATTGTTAAAGGAAAAGTATGAAGTACAGTACAGGGGCAAGCCACTACTAATTTGAGATAGACAGCATATATTTTAAATTAAATAAATTAAAAATGATTAAAAATTGCAGCCTAACATTGTGACAATGTCACAATAAATAATTGTTTGTGTATGTGATGTAATGTCTGTGCAATGACTATTGGCACAATAAATATCTCGTCCATTCTCCACAGAGGCTTACTTATAACATTTGCTATTTAGTTATGTCACTGTAATCTGTTTGTGTGAAAAGCTTGTAACTCAATGTAATATGCTGTATAGTTTTTTAGCATGTGTTGTAGATGTAGAATTTCCTAATGTTAATATATTATAGATGTGGCATTTCCTACAGATGTCATCTGTGAGTGTTGTGTCTTCTAAAATGTGCTTACTACAGTTTTTTGTATTTATAACCTGAATTTGTATGAAATCATAAACCTTTCTGTCCCTTAAAAGAGATGTCCAATGATTGGCTGTCTCTTTACAGGGGCATCCACATCCAATGATAATTATTAAATTTAATTCAAAAATTGTTATAATTATTATTAGTACAAGATGGCAGTTTAACCTCTTATTTAAATATAACAAATTATTTTATNAATTATACTATATATAATTGTCGGGGTAAAATCGTCCTTTACACGATTTCCCACGCTTTTCCGTATTTTCAAATGAACGACGGTTGTCACCATGGGAATGCCGATCAGACAACTTTTGGAAACTCGACCGCGGATTGGCTGGAAAACATCATACCACCAGCAGAGGTCTTGTAGCGCTACTAAGCGCTGATTGGTGGAATTCCATTTGCTTCAATCCGTATAAAAGGATTGAGTTTAGGCGGGAAGTTTAGTTCACCTAGGACACATCAAGGGAACTCATGTTTGTTCTAACTTCGTCTAAGCTGGCCTAGAAGATTGTTTCGTCTCGTTGTGCGGTAACTAACGCAAGAAGAAGTTCATCGCAAGGTGTCTTTTCGACAGACCTGTTGTCGTGGATTAAAAGTATTGGAACTTTGTTACAACTGATGTTTTGTAAATGTTTGTTTTGTGAACTTTTGTAACTGTACATACGTTTTACTTGTAATATAAACATTTTGTGAAAATTCAGTAACGTCTAATCTCATTGTGAATTTGACTATAATATAGTGTTTAATACATATAAATACTAAATATAAAATGTAATTCCTAGAATAGAATAATAATCAAAACATTTTCTCTTACAATAAAAGTAATAAAAATCTAGATGACTATATAATAATTACTTTAAAAATAAAAAAAGAAAGTAACCTTTTGTATTTCTTTCAATAAAATACCATCAGTCATAAATTTTATTTTTGTTTCTTCTGTAACATTTCCTTCAAAACGAATCTGATATGATACTATTTTATTAGATAAATTCATTTCATATGCAACTCTTTCAGCTAAAGAAGTTGCTGCAATTCGACGAGGTTGAGTTATGCCAATTATACCTCTATCACTGAAAATAATTTTCATATTAAATTTCTTCATATACAAGTAAAGAAATTATGAAATTTTAATCATTTATACTTAGCATATCGTGCTTCATATAAAAATTGAGGAACTTGAGTTGTTTTTCCACATCCTGTTTGACCACAAATAATTACCACATGATTTTCAGATAGTGCCTCCATTATTACATGTTCTTCAGGTAAAATTGGTAATGCTAACCGAGCATTCTAAAAATAAACATAGTTTCAAAATAAATACTATACTGTAAGTAATATATTTAAATATTGTAATAGTTTTTAACATAATTTTTAAAGAATGTTGCAGAGATTTAAAATTACATTCAATAATTTTAGTAATATGAAAGGAAGAAAACAGAGAAAAAAATTAAATATTTAAAGCAAAGACTATACTGAATTTAATACAAAATATAGCAACTGATAAATAGAATTTTGAATAATTATTTACAATTTATTTAAATAAATTGCATTTATGATTACTGTAAATTAATTTTAATATAAAGAGGGACTGAAGAGGCAAAAAAGGCATCCAATATACATCTTCTAAAATAAAAAGGATATATTTTAGTTGGTGTGTAGCTTCCTTCAAAGAAACTACCATAGAAGTTTATTAAACAATACAAAAGAGAAAGCAAGTGAAGAATACGTAACTATTCTTTTAACTTTTTACAATCAAAAAGTTTTATTTTTGATCTATAAGCAATGTAACAACATGTTCAAAGCAGTTAAAAGGTAGACATTCATCATAAATTAGAGATATATATGTTGAGACTTCAATTCATCAATATCTTATAAATCATTTTTTTAAATTATCTTGTATAAATCTGAAAACAGAATTTTTTATCATTTTCAAAGCTACTTAATCTTTAACATGTACTCTGACTATAGTTTTCCTATAGAGCTTTAACCAATGTAGTAAATATCTAAAAGCAAAAGTCTATTAAATCAGTATCCGTGGAAAATTCTTGCTCATTATACATTTCAATATCAGATTTGTGATAATTTTTTATTCATTTATTTGTTTAATTTTTTTACAATAGCTATAACTGAATATAACTATTTGTTAAAAGAGCAAATCTAAAACCTTATTCTTTAAGTTTAAAATTAAATCAAAACAATGATGACTACAAAAAATCTAATTCCTACATCTAAACTTCATTGTAATAAAAATCCTCAAATATACTCTAGTAGTGAATGTATATTGAGATTATATAGAGAGATAATTCGCAATTTAGACGAATAAAATCAATTTTAAACGAATTATTTTAAATTTATTTAAATAGGGCAAATTTTTAAACTCTATTTTTAAGAAATTCAAGAAAAAATTATAATTACTTGAATCTCTGATGTACGATTTATTAGTATGAACTGCTGTTTAGATTCTCCTTTATTTGTTTTTTGTACTTCTAATTTTTCTTCTGATTTAATATTTGTTTGATCTAAATCATTCTCTTTTAGAGTTTTCATTTTATCTAAATTAAGTTTGGACTCTCTACTATTAATGGCTTCTTTGTGATTTATATTCTCATTAGACAGATTGATATCTGAGCTTTTCTCTTCCAAGGCTTTAGTTTTTTCTTTTTCCATTATACTGAAATATATAAATATTAATTATATAACTATAATATAACAATCATAAAAATATAAACATAACATAAATATTAATAAATACNCCCTTAAAAAAAATTAACTTTCATAAAAGGATCACCATGCAGTAGACAGGCTGTCCACATTTCTATGGTTAATGCAACCAGATATTTTGTGTGCTTTAAAAATCTCCAATTTTTTCATATATCTCATAGTGTGAATATTAGATGTGAGTCTGATGATGGTTGCCTGCTCTCATTGTACTTTTATGTCCTGACGTTGCGAGTAAGCTGCCAGTGTCGTATTATCAAAATTTTTATCAATTGTGTATTTATGTTCTTTGAGACATTGTTGTAAATTACACATAGTGGTACCCATGTAGACCAGATCTGATTTAAAACATTGGTCGATTAACGAGATGGAGTAAATCCCTGCGGTCAAATTATGGTTATATGGTTTCTTATCATTTCTTAAAATTCTGAATATCATTGGGTTGTGTCAATATACAACCTCGACATTATTAGCTCTGGCCGCATTTTTATGTATCTTTCTTAAAAATGGGATATAATTTAAAACCACTCTTCATTTCTGGTCTATGTATGCTGATGTTTTGATGTTTGAAAGGTTGCAATCAACTTCTGAATCATTTCTATCAGATAACCCCGTTGTTCTGCAATCTTTAAGATGTAATTCAGCTCTGTTATAGTGTCCTGTATGCTGGTACAATGTGTATATGCCCTTCTTATCAAGGATCTAAAGAGTTATGTAATTAAAACAGGTTGAAAACATGGTTTCCTGTATATTTTGGTCCAAATCTCGCCAAATATGTAAGAGATGGAAATGTCCAAAAAGCGTTGTTTCACTCTCCTGGTCTAATTGTAGGAGTAATCCGTGGGGGTTATCATTGATTGCCTTTAAAAAATGCTGCAGAAATTGCCTTTAAAATGCTTTGGTTTTTCTCTGCCACATAATGAAGATATTGTCAACATATGTAGCGTATAAGATAATGAGGTGTTGAAATTTGGGTAGAATCTTGTTTTCTAATTGTCGAACCGCCAGTTCACAAAGTATTACTGATGTGGGACTGCCTGTAGGTATGCCTCTTCCTTGTAAGAATACTTTGTTCTCAAATTCAAAGAATGATGTATAACATACAAGATGCACAAGTTCCAGTATATGATTGCGATGTTTACACACATCATCAATGCGCATAAACAATCACAATCAGAGAAATGTGATTGTCTACGAGAAAAATGGTATTGATTTATTTACCATTACCATTTCTCTGGTAGACAATGAATACATGACAGTCTTAGACTTCAAATCGATGTATCCGTCTATAAAATACCTCCTTGTTTTTGTGCAATAAGGGATTTCCTGTTTGCCAACATTGATGATGCACGTAAACATCAAAATCATATACTGAAACTTGTGCATCTTGTATGTTATACATCATTCTTTGAATATGAGAACAAGGTATTCTTACAAGGAAGAGGCAAATGGAATACAGCTATGTATACAGAATGCTATTTTTGTTAATTAATAATTAATAACAATAATAATATAAACTGTGGATAAAGAGCATGTGTCTGGTGAATACCTCAGAGGCTGTCAGATAAGTTTCATAAAAAGTAAAGCAGATTTCTCAAAATGTAGCACAAATTATTTTTAAAGTGGCCCAAAAAGTAGCAAGTTGCCCAAATGTAATGGCCTAGATATCTCAATCTGCTACTTGTAGCCCAATCTTGCAATCCCAAAACACAGCTGTAATTTATGAATTAAGAGAAAAAAGAGTAGTCCACGAGTAAGTTGACATCCTAAAATGTGTTACTGTAAAAGCAAAGTCATATTGACCAGATTAGAGTTGTTTTTGGTCTATTATTCTCATATAATATGGAGACATTTTGATCTAAATGAATGAGTTAATATACACATATCACAGTTCAGACAAAATTTTCACTTCAAATTTTGAAATAGCTCTGTTTCAAACTAATCAAATTCATACACATGTTATTCTATGATCTTCCATCACCAACCACTGTACTGTACTTGCTAGTTAAAGATCTACCAAAATGTTTGTTGCATTGAACTAATGTTAACCAAATTATCTATTATCTTCCACTGAGACAAATGATACAATTACAAAGTACTGGGATTTTGAACTATCCAAGTTCAAAATCCCCGTAGTTCCAATTTCCTGTATATATATTTACATATGCCAAGTGATTATATATATATAACTAAATTTGGTATGGTAATATTTCAGGGCAGAAAGGCATTTTTGAAAGAAAAGAAAAAAAAAAAACATTAGTACCAAAATTCAACACTTTTGACACTGCAACAAACAATTTATTTGTACAATGCATTCATGCTGTATTCATGCTATATTTGCTAGCAGTATGAAGATACTGCTCAATGTTCTTCACATACTGAAGATGTGAAGAAACCTAAAAGCAAAGAATGTGTTCAATGACTAACTAATTAATTTTTTAAGATGCTTCTCATACAGTGTAATACTACCTTTCAAAGCTTTTTAAGTGGAGACACATTTTTAAGTGTCTCCACAAATTAAACTGCTTTTTTTTTATTGCTTGCAGCACAAAAAGTTTTAAATTGGAGAGTGTTTTAGCACTAATTCTTTTTAAAGAAATTCTTCCCTATATCCTGAAATGTCTCCATATAAGATTTGGTTGCATTTGGACTGCTAAATCTCTCTCTAGACAGTATTGAACAGAGGTATTTTAATTACAATCACCCACTATATAACATAAAAATAAAGTTGATAAAAAAATTCTTATGTTATATATGTCACATATTAACACTTGGATATTAAAATACTTTTTATTTTTTACTATATATGCAGTGGGTGCAAAAGTAGGTATACAGTTGTTATTATGGAAAAAAACATACAGGAAGAAAAACATTTATTTTTATGTACAAATTAAAATCACAAATAAGGAATACGAACTTATAAAAGATAATAAAAATAATAATAATAATGAACACCAAACATTTGTATTTCTCAGATTCTAAACTGTATACCTGCTTTTGAACCTCCCTGTATAATATATTATTAATATGCATATTTAAATTATTATTATGTTGTGAATGTCATGACATTCCTAACCCATGAATGCAGATCTTGTTAACATTATTATTATTATTATTATTCAGAATTAAGAATTAAATTTACAAACATAATTAACCTTTCATCATTTATTGATTCATATTCCATAGATGACATATTCTCAAAATTCTTAATATATTCACCAACTTCAGACTGTTTCTATAAAATAATTCAAGCATTCCATTAATATTTTAATATATAATATATACATAAATTTCAAATTATAAATATTTATTAAAAAACCCAAGATATAAAAAAATAATTACAAAAATTAACTTTTTATTTCATTATTGTAATATATACGCACATAAAGACATCTATGTTTACTAAAATTTATTGCTTACAGTTAATTTGCATTTATCAAAAATCTTTTAAATTGCGGTAAAACATTACAAAGTATTTTAAATTTACAGTTAAAACTTTCCATTCAAAACAGTAGACCCCCTATAACACTGTAGATAATTCAGTGTTATATAAATTCCATGTTGTACGAGTCACTTAGATTTTACAAATACGTGAGCCATTCACAGCCTGGCACACATATTTGTATAAATCTAAGTGATTCGTACAACATGGAATTCATATAACATGGAATTATCTACAGTGTTATAGGGGGGTTTACTGTATTACACTTTATTAAATCTATATAATCATTATTATTTTATTAAAAGTTATTAATCATACTATCAGTAAAACAACCATAGAAAAAGATCATCTAAAACTAAAAATGAATTTCATTTTATTCAATGAAATTCATTTGTTGATCTTTTTACTGAATGTGCATACCATATTTGCTTGCTTTTATCATTATAAGAAAAAATCCCAGTTTTTTGGGGGTTAGTTGCACTATGTTTTTATTCAAATATAACAACCATTATGAATATGAATATGAATATAAATATGATATTATAACTGAAATTTTCAAAAGAAGCCATTATAATTGAATAAGATTCAGTTATAATAGATGAACCATTTCCTTCCCTTTTTTTAAACTGTAAAAGATGGATGGTAGCAGAACTGCAAAATGAAGAAAGAGTTACAAAATCTGATCAAAAGATATCTGGTCTGAGATCAATAAAAAAATCCATGTATCTATTAGGTTCAAACACTAGTCCACTTCAAAATATGACCCTTCTGACTTCACACACTTTTCCTAACAATACTTCCACTGTTGGAAGCATTTTCAAAATCATTTATCAAAATCTCCATCAGGTGCTTTGTTGCATTAGTCTTGATCTTCTCTGTATCCTGAAATCACTTTATTTTGTATAATATCTTGAATTTGGGAAAGAACGAAAATTCAGCTGGAGCTATGTCTGGGAGAGGAAGGTACTGTTCCTATGCAATAGCATGTTTTGCAAGGAATGTCTGGATGAGATGCAATCCATGGGCCAGAGCATTATCTTGATGACTGAACCAGTCACCAGACTGACAGAGTTGTGGTCTTTTGTATCTAATAGCATCTCTTAGGTAATGTAAAACAATCAGATAATAGACTCTTCTCAAACTGCACTTACTAAAAAAATAACTACCCTTTACTAACCTTTAATCAGATAATACTCCTGTCTTTGAGGGGTGCACTCATAATGAACTATAACCTGATAATTGAAAAAAAAAGTCAATATGACCTTTACTTTGGTATGTGATTGCCATGCCTTCTTTGGCCATGAGGACCTTGGCATTTTCCACTGAAATAATTATGTTATTGTCTGAAGATCATATCTGTAAACCCAAGTCTCATCTTCAGTTATGATCAGCTTCATGAAATCAAGTTCAGCATTGATATATTCAAGCATGTCATGAGTAATGTGAAGAGAGTTTTCCTTCTGGTCTTGACTGAGGAGCTTTGGAATAAATTTTGCCACACTCAATGCATGCCAATTTCATCAGTCACAATTGCTTGCACTGAACCATACAAAATGCTCACTCCATTCACTGAGTGTTATTCTATGATCTTCCATCACAACCACTGCACTTGATGGTTGAAGATCTACCATGATGTTCATTGCTTTGAACTGATGTTCAGCCTTTTCTGAAATGATGCCACTCTTTAATCTGCATAGCACACATAGTTTCCTTACCAAAAGCTTTCTTTATTTAATCAGCAAGATTCTGACAAAACTGAATGAAAATTTGTTTTGTCAAAATCTTGTTCAACACATTTTCACTTAATCACTAATGCAACAATAATTGAATAAACATGCAACTATCATGGCTGCCTGACAGCAACAACAGCAGGATAGGCCATGCTTGTCAAAATTCACATATATGCAGTAGAGTCCAAGGTCTCATGATGACATAGTCTCCTCCCCAGCTTACAAATACTTGCAAAGAAAAAATAAGGTTGGATATTTTTTGATCAGACCTCATATATGCTTCAATTTAAGAAAAAAAGTTTCAATTGCCTATAAAAATGATACTAGTATTCATAGAATCTCAAGGCATAACAATATTTGCAAAAAAAGAATAAATTTTCCACATTACCTACAATAAGCATGCATTCCAAGCAGAGATAAGATGACTATTTTACAAGTGAAAGTGGAAAAATGAAAAGTACCAAGAATTGGAGGATGAGGTGTTCAACTGGATCCAGAGTATAAAGAAAAGCAGAAAGTAGTGCATGAAATTTCAATTCAAGATAGAGAAAAGCAAATGTTTCCATAAGTTTATCCCAGCAAAATTCAAAAGCTCTCAAGATATGCAGCAATTTTTGTGTTGCAATAATCTTATTAAATGATGTGCAACAAGTATCAGGCAAAAGGTTTCGAAAAATCTCTACCTTGGAGGTTGTAAAACAAAAGCAAATATTGAGTTTTCTAACAAATTTTGATGAGATTCTCACATGATTTGAAATTCCAGCAAGCTGTAGTATTGATATGAAAAAGTCAGAACTGTTAAATATAAAACTATAGGGAAAAAAAATTATATTTCACAGTTGATCTGATAACTGTATGATACAAACACTGATTGCATATAGAAACTACAGCCAATTAGTCTGTTTTTAAATTTGAGAAATGCCCCAAAGGGCAACTTTCTGAAAAGAGATGAGATACAAAAAAAGGAACGTTGACCTCAAAAATTCTTTATTGTCCAATGTGCTTATTCTCTATTTCTGTGAATGTTTTCTCCTTATTGCATCCCTTAATTAAACACCAAAGGATGTCAAGATACATTTCCAGGGCATCATTCACCAAAAATTAAATCTTAGTAAAAAATGAAAATAAAAACAATATACAACATAACTTTTTCTTTGTTCCTATCCACAAATTATTTCTTTGACTGAGATGATAATGTTTCTATTCAGATGTTTTGTCTCTGAATCACATAGAAAACACCATCTCTCATCTTTGGTAAATATGATGCTCAAAAATTTTTCTCTATCAAACATAGTGATTAGGTCTCCTAATACTGTTCTTTGCATTTATTTCTGCTCTGGAAACAAGATTCTTGAAACCATATGCTGATAAAAATAAAACTCAGAGGACTGATTAGAATATTGTGGCAACTTCCAACAGATAATCCAACTTCTTATGCTATTTTTTGTTTTCTGTCTGTTGCGGTGAACGACATTCCAAACACATGCAATATTTTCATCATTCATTGAGGTTGAGATGTGCCCACTACATGGATGATTATGAACAGTAACAAAACCTTCAAATTGTCTCACAAATTTAATGGTATATAAATGTTTTGTTTCTGACTGTAATTTTTCGAGATATCGCAGTTTGAAGAGTAAAAATCCGATATTCCGTGACTATCGTTTTCCCCATATGATCTGATATTTGTTGTGTCTAGACTAAATATTTATACATACAGAACTGCTTATACTAATCATGGGTGTCATTTCAAATTCTGACAATGCTATATATATATATTATAAAAACAGTACTCTTGATGCTTTTGGAAATGGGGATGTCATGATCTTCTGTGGTATGATATCATGAATGCTTTCAAATTCCTACAAATAGCGAGAATAGGCAGGACATTGCATTCTGATTATGCAATGTCCTGCCTACCCTCACTATGTCATGTGGGTGGTGAAAATTCCAATAACTTTTTTATCTTGTATACATAAATATAAAATATTACATAATATTATACAAATATACAATACTTTATATAACTATCTTTCATACCTTCTTTTTTAACTTCATTTGCTTTCTTAAATTTTTTTTTAATATTTTTCTCTCATATAATGTAGGTTTTGGATAATAAACAGTTGGTTTTGGCTTTAATCTTGATTTAAATTCTTCAAATTCTTGAATAAATGAGTTATTTTCACTTCTTCTATCTTCTTCAATTATATTTAAATAATTCTGACAAAAGTAATTTTGATTATAATAATTTATTTAAACTATATATTCAGGATAAATCAAAGATAAAAATCATTAAACAGTTATATAAATAAAAACTATAAAATATTAAATTTTAAATTAAAAACAAACTATCATAAATTATTAAAATGATAAAACTGACAATTTTTACATTAGATTTTTTAAAATAAACATGGTCAAAGTATTCAACATCATATTTAATAATTATTTATTTTTAAACATTAATTTTGTTCAATGTTGTAATTATCAAAGTAATATGATTATAACATATATATTTTCTTTTTAATATATTATGCATACACAATTGCTTGAAAAATATTTTAAATGATATCATGTAGACAGCAGTACTCTTCAGAATGTAACTTAAGCATAAATCTTAAACAGATTAATAATTATTAGATTTAATAATTTATCTATAATATATAATTCATACAAAAATATAAATTGTATATACCATATAAAAATAAATTTAACTACAGCAGATTCTATTTATAATCTTTAGAAAACCTGTTGAAAATGGATATTGTAACAAATGGATATTGTATCAAATTTTCTCAATATTTTCCAATTTTGCTGGTAGATATCAATTATGTCATACAATTTTGTGCCTATATGAGAAAAATACTCCAAACCTTAAAAAACTACACTCTAAAATTATACTATTTAAAGCAATTTTTAAAAATTAATTAAAAAACAAATAAGAAATATCACTACATTAATTTCTTTTTACATAGTTAATGATAGTTGATAGTTGAATCAGAAAAGTGAAAAAAAACAAACTAGTCAAATAATGGTTGATTAGTTCTACAAATGCATGTATGCTTTATTATTATTCAAATCTAATTTGAATAATAATAATATTTTGGAAGAAATTATAATGGTTTTTCATATTTACATATTATCATCTTTTCCATTTAATTCATTAACAAAATTATATTTATTTATACAATATTTTTTATGTATAATAAATATAATTCTCATTAAAATTTTTAAAAATATTAAGACAAATTTTCACCTAAGAGTGTAATTTATTTTTATTTCCACATTAGTTGTTTCAACGTTTCAACCTTTATATTTATATAATGAACCAACTAGATAAATATACTATGAATAAAACACACCTTTAATAATCCAGCTAATAAAAATTAATAAAGTAAAAATGTTTTTGATCGTTTCTTAACGATCTTCTTCAGTTACCATAACATAGAATAAAATCAAACACAAAAAAGAACGTAAATATGAAATTAAAATAAATAACAGAAAAATAGCTGTGGTGATAAAATAAATGAAAAATATAAATTAAGCCGAAAAAATGTTCCTTAACAAAAATAATAAAGCCATTAATTCTTGTAAAAGGATCGCCATGTGGTAGGTAAAGAGTTCGCATCCCTATGGTTGACACAACCAGTTTTCTTGTGTGCCTTAAAGATCTCTAATTTCTCTAGATATTTCATTGTGTGTAAATTTGTCGTAGGTTTAATTATTTCTGCCCGATCCCAATGGACTTGAATGTCGTGTTGTGATGCGTAAGCCGATAGCATGGTATTGTCAAGGTTATTATTAATCGTATATTTATGCTCTTTGATACATTGCTGCAAGTTTCGCATTGTTATTGATACATTGAGCCCATGTAGACAAGATCCGAATTAAAACACTGATCGTGTAATGGCATAGAATGCCATTACACGATCAGCCCTGATGCCGATTTCCAGTCATAACGCTTCTTATTGTTTCTTAATAGCTTGAAAACTGTAGGATTGCGTTGATATATCACTCAGAAATTATTAGCCCTGGCTGTTTCTTTATCTATTTATCTCAAAAACCATCCTTTGTCTACATTCTACTGTAGGATGCTGTTGTTTAGTTGTTTGGAAGGTTGCGGTAAGTTTCTCCATGATTTCCTTTTGGTATCCTTGTTGTTCTGCAATCCTTAGAATATAGTTTAGCTCCGCTATTGTGTCTTTTATACTTGTACAATGCGTATAAGCCATTTTTATCCTGGACCTAAAGACTACCAATTTGATGTGATGCGGATTGATCGAATTATGCAGAATTAAAGTGGGTTGAAAGCATGGTTTTCTGTATATGTTGGTCCTGATCTCTCCCTGTCTGCAAGTGATGGAAATGTCCAAAAAATTTACAATACTATCACTCTCCTGGTCCACTTGTAGTAAGAAACCGTAAGGGTTACTATTGATCATATCCAAAAATTGCTGTAGGTTAGGTTTTCTTTTCCACAAGATGAATATATCGTCGATGTATCTGGCATACAAAACAATAAGGTGTTGAAAACTGGATAGAATTTTGTTTTTGAGTTGCTGTAAGACCAACTCACAAAGAATTGCTGAAGTGGGACTATCCATCGGTACGCCTCTTCCTTGCAAATAAAACTCATTCTCAAATTCAAAAAACGATGTATAACACACTAGGTGCACAAGTTCCAGTATTTGATTGTGATGTCGTGGTGCATTTTCAACATTGGCAAATAAAAAATCTCTTATTGCGCAGAAGCAAGGAGATAATTTTATCGATAGATACATCGACTTAAAAATCTAAGACCGTCATATATTCATTGTCCATTAGAGAAATGTTTTTGAGATCTTCTATGAGTTGTAGAGAGTTGTTGATCGAGAGTGGATGACGATGAGCTTTAGATTGGAAGAATTTGACCAGTTGTTTTTCGATTAAGAAAGTTGGAGAGTTACATTTCTCAATTACAGGGCATATTTGGTATCCTGGTTTGTGTGTTTTGATGAAAGCAAATATTCTTGGTGCTCTTGGTGCATGGACTGTGGAGTTTTGCATACATAAGAGTCATGTCAAAGGAGTGGATGTGAACTTTTTAACCCTTTGCTGCAGGGTTTCTAAAAAATGGACAGGTGTAGGTTGACCTTCAGTGCTTGAAATATATTCACTTAATTTCTCATTGTAGGTTGATTGTTTTAGCAATACCACTCCTTTCGATTTGTCGGCCTTCATCAGGACTATGTTGTTCTGTTGTAACCATTGTCGTGAATTCTTTATGATGTTTTGAAATCATTGTGTGTTCGACCCATTGCTTTTTACTTCTTTTGTCATTCGGAATCTGGTTTTCCAACGAACAAAATCCTGATTCATTTCGTTCATGCCCTTAATGACCAATTCAATATCTGGTATGAAGGTCTCTGGCTTTGGCAAAGGGGTTGGAGCATAAAGAGGACTGTAATCCAAGGCTTCCAAAATGCATTGCAGGGGTACGATATTATCCCATGCAGTGATATGGGTGTTTCTGCCTATGTTTGGTTTAATATTCTGCATTCAGAATATCCATCTTAGTTTCTTGATGTAAATGTGTTTTAAATTTCTTTTGACATTCTGTGTCAACTTAATGACACTTTTATTCACAATTGCTAGGAGTTGTGAGTCTTGTTCATAAAGATAGTGCTCCATTTTTATCAGCTTGTACAAAAGAGAGTACGTTTGGCATCTTGTATTCCTGATAGCCTTTTTGAGGCACAGTTATCCTTTATATTGATCAGTAATCCTTTATATTGATAAAAAGATAGAATTACACTTATAAGAGAATGACCAAAACCTTCTTTATTGGTTGTTATATCATGGCATATTGCTGAATCAAGGGACATTCTGAAGAGAGTCTATAAATTATACCAGCATTTCTCAAACTATGATCATATTAAATTTTAATGGGTTATAAAATGATACTGCCTTCTGTAGAAATACTTGTAATACTTGTATTACTGAAATCTTCTGTAAGAACTATGAATAGTAGATGCATCTGTTAAGTACTGAAAATTGTTAAAAACTTTTTTCTCATAATTATTATTGTCATTTGGTAATAAAGTTAAGATCAGAGAATGTGTGTATATGAAATTGATTTCTCTTTTTTATTTTGAATAACATCAAAATAGAAAATCATTATATGTTCACAGTCATAAAAGCCATTTAAGGTGCAGAGGTTTTGAAAATATTTCTTTGTTTATTCAAACTTTTAGGTTTATTGTTATACAAAACAATAAATTATAAAATAAATAACAGATGAATTTTGGCACAAGTGGATCAATAAATAATTTCTTTTGTCTATATACAAAATGAAATTGACAAAAAATCTTCTTACAGTCTGAAAGTTATATTTTAAACAAAAGATTCATTAAGTATTAAAATTAGACATTCATTAATTTTTCAAAGTAAAACAAATTCCTAAATAATTTGTAACAGTCTGTTTTATTTACAATCGTCAGTCTTACTTTTTAATAGTGAAATTTCAATAATAAAAACTGAAATTAAAGTAAGTTATTTGTTATGAATTGAAATTGGCCCAAATTGCTCTTAATAGAAATGTACTTGATGTTACAATTCACACATAGAAGTTATTATCAACAATGAATAATTTTGTTTTGCTATATAATATACAGTGACTCCAGTTTATCAGATGTTTTTAAAATTTTATAAGCATTTGCGTCATGGAACCATTACGAACAAATATATTGGGTCATATAAAAAAAAAGTTTGAGAAATGATGTACTACTAAAATTGTTTCTGTTAATTTTAGCTATCCAAACTATAACATTAAAATAAAAATATCAGAGCATATATTAAAACACTTCATATTTACCTGAACATTAGATGTGTTATTTTCTATAATGTTTTGTTCAGAAATTGAATCTAAAAAATTTTCTTCTGTATTATCTTCTAAAGATTTAATTACTCCATTTTCTGAATTTGAAACAGAATCAATTTTTAGAAGCTTACTAGCTTCTTCATCACTTTCAATACTTTCATTTTCTATTTCATAACAATTTTTTCTTTTTTTGTCAATTCCTATGATATTAGTTAGTTCCTCATTATCTTCTGTCACAGTTTCAATTGATGCTTTATTAACAACTTTTGCGTCTTTTAAAAATCTGAAATTCAATCATTTTAAATGTTATTCTAAGCTTATGAAACATTATTTGTATAAATTTATTAAATTTAATAATTTTAATTTAATTTTGAACATTATTTTACCTTCTTCGCCCTTTTGTTTGAAAATCTGTTATCGATGTCATTAACTTTAATTCTTCATTAGAAATTTGTACTTTTTGCAAATCTTCTAATAATTCATTTCTCTGTAATTAGATATTTTTAATAGAAATAATTTAAAAATTTATTACCATATTGACTTGAATATAGTCTGCATATTTCTTTAAATTCAACATTTAACTGACTTAAAATTATAAAGAGAATTTAATTTTAACTTTTTAAATATATGTTTAATAAATAGTAAGTATTATTAAATTTTTATTGTAAAACTGATTAATAGTTTAAATTTTTTTTCTTTTGATCAAAATAAAATTAAAATTGCATATTAAAACATTTTATAAATACATTAGTGATGATAAAACTTTCTTAACAGTTGAACTTCTAATATCACTATTTGTTAGCTGTAACTTTAATGACAATCTGATCTCACTATTAGTATGCTATTATCATATATATATCATTGAACTTTACAGCTATCACACTCACACACACATATATGTATAATATCTTAATATTCAGGTACTAGTCATTAGGGTAGTATCCTGAATATTAATGGAATGGTAGCTAGTCATTAGGGGCCAGAGGAACAGGACTCCATCAATAATTTTATTAAATCAAATTATTCAATGNTTTTGTTTGGCAAAGAAAAAAATTTACTTAAAAATGTACCACCAGGGGGGACAATTTGTGCTTTATTACAGCAGAAAGTATTACAAAAGTAAAAATCATTTTCCAGGAAAAAAAAATATTTATTATTGCATTCTGTCATACTTCCATAGCACTATGACAAGTGGTTTAAAAGTTATAGGAAGTGCACAAACTATCCTTTGAACCCTGTATATCATAATCAGCTTATTGTAATCACTTTGGGATTCTCCTGTACTGATAACAATATCTGACATAATTTTAAGCTGGTTAAATAAATAAGACTACAATTAGTGGAAATTCTGATTTTATTCACCTAATATTGAAAGAAAATGTTAAAGCAAAACTCGTGTAACTTACAGATTTATTAAGTATAATTATTATTATTGATTAATAGTAATTCATTCAGTATTGTTTTTAACAAAAGCTAGCTTACACCTGAAGAAATGCAAGCTACTATACTGAGCAAATAATGTTTAAAATGATTAGCATTTAATGTGTAAAACACTGGATTAAGGCTAATGACAATAACTGATAATAATTGTTCATTATCACCCAGGTTTGAGGTTAATAGTATAAAAAGGCAGCTTAAAAATAACTATTTACATGAAGATAATGATAATTATAAGTGAAACTTTTATTACAATATGCAAAATTTTTAAAATATTTTACTTATCTATTTTAGGACTTGCTGATGGCATTAATGATTAACAACACTACCCTAATTACAATAAACAGATTCTATTGTATACAAAGTAGAATTTTCTATAAAAAGTATGAATGAATTTTGATAAAAATGAAAATTAAATAACAAAATAAATAACTACATAAGAACTGTTTTCTCAGAAAAAAGATGAAAGGTGATATAGGAAGTATCTAAAATATTAGCTGGCATGATAAAAAAATTAATTAAAAAATTAACTAAAATTAATTAATCAAATGTTATTTTATGTATCAAAATAAAATTATAAAATATTTATGTTAAATTATTTTTATCATAACTGTGCTATTAAATTTTAAAAATGATTTACTTGTAATCTTTTCATATGTCTTCTTTGTTTCTGTGCAATTCTTTTTCTTTCCTTCTTTGATAAAGACTTATGAAAAACGGTAGGCTTATTTTTAATTTTTTCAGATTTCTCCTTTTTAGAGGGCAGGGCAAAAGTGTTGCTTTCATCATATTTGCTTGTGTCAATTGGTATATCCAAATTTAATTTTACCTGAAACAGATATAAAATCAGTACTTTAATGAATATTTCATTTTTATAAGATGAGATAGAAAGAAAAAAAGGCACTTTTAGAGTTCGTCTATAGGAAATTTTGTATACTTGTTTTTATTTGTCAACTTTAAATTTTATTATTTTTGTTAATATTTTGTTTTTAATTTTGACTTTAAAAGTTAAACTTAAATTTTCAACTAAATACTGTAATTAAAATATTTAAAAGCAATGTTTTTTTATGTGTCTTATTTTCATTAGTTTTCTATTTTTTACTACAATGTTTAATTTTTTATTCAATGTTCATAAAACTTTATAGTTCATACAAAATACTAATAAGATATAGTTAAAAATATAAAAAGGTGTTGTACTAAACTTTCTCATTAATCTAATCACATTTACAAATGTTAGTTTCTGTCTGTGTTAAGTGTTCATTATTCAACTGTTCAATCAATAATCATTATTAATTTCTATTAAGTTATTAATAAAATATATTTATATGTGAAAGATGTGAACTGTGATTTACATTTAAATATTTGGTTAAAGTATACCTAGGTAACCCCTATGGCCATGCTTCCGGTAATCTCGACGGCATGCGCGATTAGAAATACAATGAAAGTGGCACTGATCACACATGACACTTTCATATGCTAATTTTCTTCAAAATTCTCCATTCAGAAAATATGAGGAATTATGCAAATTTTCAGTTCAGTGATAGTGCTTACAGACAGTGCACATTGAATTTTTTTTTTTGAATGGCATTCTTGTTATTTGAAAGTTTGTAAATTTTTTCTTTTTTAATTTTAAAAAGTAGGAAAATTCTGCTAATGTTTTTTATGGATTATCTGTCGGCCAAATAAAAAGACCGGAAAATGAAATTATTTGGTAATTATTGAAATAGGTTATGTTAAAACATGGATGCCTACTGCTCCAAACACATCTAACAGAAAAAAGGAATTTTTCAGTAATTTATTAGAATAGGTTGGGTAAGGTTAGAATGTGGATGCCTACTGCCCCGAATCATCTAACAGAAAAAAGGAATAATTTGGTAATGTATTAGAATAGGTTAGGTTAAGTTAGAACGTGGGTGCCTACTGTGCTGAACCCAGCAAACAGAGGAAAGGAATACATGAAAAGGTAAGAAAAGAAGTAAACATCTACTAAAAATTTAGCCAGATTGTCAATTTAGAGAATGGAAGGTTCTATAAAACAAGTATAACCAAGTCATCAAGCAGGAAAAAATTTAGGAAAATAAAAGCAAATTAAAAAGGTTGGTTAATGTTACATATGGTATCTAAAATGATGGCTATTCGGTTAGGTTCCTTTTGTTTCAGTTAGATTAACTATATTTTCAGTAGACGTTTCCTGTTTTTTTTTTTACTTTGTTCAAAAGTACCATGAATCAATAACTATAACGTTAAACACTCAGCGGCCTGCTGGCGGCTCTCCGGGAGGTCCGTTGGGAGCACGATCAGTCAGAACAGCAGCCATTTTAGTCACCATAGGTAACATTAACCAAAATGTTTTAGTTTAAACATAAAATTTAAAAATATGTGCGTATCAGTAATCTTCAACGCTTGCCATCTCGTTTGCGCATGCACATGTCACAAACAAGATGGTGACCGGAAGCACGGCCATAGGGGTTACCTAGGTATACTTTAACCAAATATTTACTAGTTAATTACATTAAAAAAATACATGAGTATCTTGATTTTTTGTAGAATATAACTTTATTGTATTCATGGTTCACCAGACCTGTGGTTTAGTATACTGGATTGCATGATACTTTTATTCTACAGACACACTGAACAAAAATAAAAAAGGTTTACAGTTTCAAATATAATGAAACACCAAACAATTTGCTGAGCTTATTATTTATTTACTGTTCAAATGTTTTCAGCCTACTTCTAATAGGCCATCCTCAAGACATTACTGTTCTACAATCGAATACAAAACTTTCGAATAAATTTTAAATTTAAACTTTTAACATATTTTTAAAAATTTTTTAGTTAAGTATTTAATAGTTTACAATTTATTGTAAAGATGTTTAAAAATATGTTAAAAGTTTAAATTTAAAATTTATTCGAAAGTTTTGTATTCGATTGTAGAACAGTAATGTCTTGAGGATGGCCTATTAGAAGTAGGCTGAAAACGTTTGAACAGTAAATAAATAATAAGCTCAGCAAATTGTTTGGTGTTTCATTATATTTGTAAGTAAACTGCTGAGGAAGTGAGAGTGGTTTACAGTTTCTGTTTACTGAAATTAGCTTAATTTGGAATCATTCATAATATGTTTTCTGTTACTTAAAATAGTTTAAAACACGTTTTGACATTAACAATCTGAATAAATTGTACATTATACACACTATTATCTAACTGTAACAAAATTTTATCAATTATAGCATTTTCATTAGTTTTCCATAGATAATACTGATTGCTTAGATTAGTATTTTACATAAATAATAATAAATTTCTGTAAAATCTTTAATTTTATATTTACCTCATTTTTTGGAACTTTTAACTGTTCAGATTGTTGTTGTCTAGCTTTCCAATTATATTTTCTTGATTTTCCCATTTTTTCCTGAAAGAAACAGTGAAAAATCCTTTTAATTTATATTAATTTATTATTTATATTTGTAAATTGATATAATGATATTGAATGATTTATTTATGTCTTAAAAAAGGCTTAATATAATTTCTTTTTTAAAAAATATCAAAATGCATTCAAAACAAAGTATGTTCTTATGTAATAAATTTCTTATCTGTTTAAAAATCTAGTACATACTACCATTTGTAACATCATCAATTTCATCTATGTCACATCAAATTACTACAATCCATTCTAATCTACATTTTTTTTCATCCTGTGATTGCTCTCTTGATTATATAATATTTATTCATTTCAAAAATTATCATTTTTTATTGTTTGTTTCACAATTTGATCTTATTTTAGTTTTATTTTTTTTAAAACTATTAAAAATTATTAATGTTTTTTGTTAATATTGTACCAATGATATTTTATTTTGTATTGATTTCATTACTTTTTGTCTTGCCTTTACACAGAATTTTTATACACTAATAATTAATAATATATCAAGCTTATTTAAGTATTAATGTCCAAAGACTGTATAAAATTTGATATATATTTTTGTGTTGAGTAACTTTGAATAACTTATTCCTTTGCATTAAAAAGCTAATACATTAATGCATTAAAAAGCTAATTTATTTCTGCTACACACCTTTAGCATTTAGGATTGTATGGTATTTCTACATGAAGAAAAACCCAAAGGGAACCATGGATCTAGGAGGAACTTTTCACAAGATATTCTAAGTTTTCTAAATGTTCATTCTAGTTTTTACCAAAAACATCCAAAAATTGATCTTTTTTAAAAAATTCCTCTTAACTGTTTGCTAGAAATAACTTTATAATCTGTAAACTGTATATATGTAGTATAGTTATGGTTACTATATAATATGAACTCTGTATAATAAATACTGTATATATCAGCAAATAACTTCATGTTAACAATATACTTCATCAATAAACATTTTTAGCCTTTCTCTTATAAAGAGGAAAACTCCTACTTTAACACTAGGATATTTTTCCAATCATTTTCTATTTAAGATTTGGTAAATGTTTACCTTGGTAGATCAGATGGCCGCTCTTCTGGAATCTCTAGGTTAGGTTCTGGAAGTGCAGCCATTGAGTCTACATGATAAAAATTTACCTAAGATTTTTTGTAATTCATTAAGCACTGCAGGGAGCAAATTTTAGAATGCCATGTTTTGCAAAAAGTAGTTGCTGAATCAATAGTTCTTTTTGGTTTTTTGCTTGTAAAGATTACAATCCTAGCAGAGCAACAATGGTATCACACAGAGATAAAATCTTGCCTCATTTATATCCATTCGTACAATAAAACAATTCATATTTGAAAAAAAAAATTTAGTTTTGCATATCAATCTTGCTATACTTTGAAATGATCAAGAATTACACCTTAACCAGGTTTTCATCTATTACAATTTCATTGAAATTTACGGTTTTCACCCACTACGACTGAATGAAATCGTATTGAACTGAAACCGTATTTTTCTAAAATTTCTTGAAATGTTTAAAAGCAACTCTATAGTAAAAGTTTGGACTTAAAATATTCAAGCATGTATTTAATTTTTACATTATCTAGATATTTCTTACCTTTTCTTTTCTTACTCATTAAATAAAACTACAAAAAAACAATCTGAAATTAATTTAATTATTTATTTGAATAAAACACTTCTAGAAACTGAGTTATCAAAATATTACCACGTGTTTAGCGTAAAGTGTTGCCATCTTTCAAGCGTGAAGAAAAAATTGAAATTACTTTTTAAAAATATTATTTGTTATGTAATTTATATATTTGTTTAAATTTTTTCAGCAATAACAACAGTTTAAGATAAACAATTAAATAATATATATATAATAACATTACGGTATATAGTAGCCCGGAAATAGCTCAAATTCTCACATTTTTAATTCTTCAGCCTTGTAATTGTTCAAGATATCCAGCCATTGAAAATTCCTAAGCCGACCAGTAATCGGGCCTTTCGATTTAATTTGATGGGTTTCGTGAAATATCAGTGTACAAAGGACTGAACTGTCTCGGCCGAAAACATTTATTGTGACTTCTTTGAACCTTAAATATTTAGACTTAAGCTAATACGTACTGTACATTAATAGTAATAATACATAAAGAATTCCTATATCCCACAGTACAGAAAGTAGACTACAAAAACTAATTGAAATATTAAAAACAGTTTGTTTAGTTATGGCAACGTAACACTTGGGCGATCTGCCTAGAGGGAATGCCTTCCTGGAGGTATTTTTAAGGGAAACTGGCCCCTTTTTACGCGTTACAGACGTGGAGAAAACCCGGAAAAGCGTGGTTACCACGTGGCTAGCCCGTCTGAACGAGGCACGAATCCACGACTGAACTCTCAGTGTTCAGGAAACGACGACCGCTTGGCCACTGGTGGGCCTCTATTAAAAACAGATATTAAGTTTATCATCGAAAATAGCATAAGGAAAAGTTAAAATCACTTTTAAAACATCATTTAAAACAGAAAAACAAAAACGAAATTGAAGGGTATTGGTATATCCAAAATGCACATAATAGCGAGGTTGAGGCCGAAGTTTTAAACGTGAAAACGTGTACGTCGGACGTTCAGCACCGCTTTCCTGTAAGCCTAGAAGTTTGACAATGGTGTTTGGATAGTCAGTGGAATCATGCTCGACATTCCAAACACCATTGTCAAACTTCTAAGTTTACGGGAAAGCGGCACTGAACGTCCGACGTACACATTTTCGCGTTTAAAACTTCGGACCTGACCTCGCTATTAGTTTAATAAAGAAATTTCAGTTAACTTTCAAATTAAATAACTGGAAAAATTAATATTATTTTTTCTACTTTTATTATTTAAGGATGAACTCTTTCCGCCCTGTACGCACTAAGAGAGCTTCTTTTAGTAAATCAATTATGGGTTCGGCCAGGCCAACAATGGAGTGCCTAGTGGTAAAAGACGGGCTGGACGTATCCGGACGGACCACCCCCCGAAAAGTTCCTGAAGATTTTTCGAGCCGTCCGCATTAGATCCGGATGCCTTAGAGCGGTAGGTCATCAGGCCATTTATGTTAGTGCTTCTTTGGTACAATTCATCGAGTTGGCAGATGAAATTATCCAACAGTACCAACATTTATACACCTGCACCAATTGCTGATGATTTACTTTAAAAAAATTGAAAAACGCTTTTAATTCAGACACTAGATTGTGATGCTGTTTTTTGAACATGATCACAACAAAGCAGAAGTTCGATACTGCATTATTTACTACTATGTCTGTGGTTTTCTCTGTAGACCCATTTGTAGAAACTTTAAGTCAAGTTTGCATTGAGGCATTTTCTACATGCAATACTTTTTCCAATTTAAAAAAAGTTGAACTTTTTAATGTGAAAAATAGAGGTGGATTAATTTATCCGAAACATCTAAATCACACCCAGCAAAAAAGAAATAATTATTATTAATCACTAATCACCTTACGACTGCCGAGAAACATATACTTAAAGATGCACAAACGTTTTTAGTCTAATTTATAGATGTCTTTTTAAATAAAAGATGCATACTTTTGTGTAAATGTTTCTCGGAAGTCGTAAGGTGATAATTAATTATTTATCCAAAAATATGGATTTGTCTACTAATACAAAATTGTAAATAATACTTTGAAAAAAACATTGTGAATAAGTATCTATTTACGAAGACTACATAGAACATATTTTATGTAACAAGGCATTACAATTTCCATATAAAGACCATACAGAAGAGGTGCTAGCTTATGTAATTCTATTGAGAAAGCACAAATATGTAAAACAACAAAGAAATTATTTACTTGAGTTGGAAAACAAGAAAAAAGAAAAACTCCAAAGGTGATTTCGTAGTAAATTTTTATTGTATTATAATAATGAATAAATGACTGAAAACAGAAAATGTCTAATTACTCTCTCTCTCTCTCTCTCTCTCTGCAAAATTCGCATTTATCTTATGATTATGTTTATACATTAAAACAAAATCAAGATCCTTGAAGTTTGACAGTATCTTTCTCTTTCTTGTTCAGGGAAAGGGTTTCTGTGATTATTTTTATTATTATTATTATTTTGCATTAAACACCAGGACTGTGTTTAATGCAAAATAAAGTCTAGAAATCAGTTTTCGGCCAGAGTTCTCGCTTGTAACACGTCGTGTTCGTGTGATACAAATGCTTCTCTCTGTTTATTTTATGCCAATAACTTTGTAAACATAGCTTCAAAACGCAAGATGATGGTAGATCTGATAAACCAAAAAAGAAAAAAAAAAGCCGTAAAGGGCTATTTTAGAGGTAAAAGTTAAAAGTTTAGTTTTAGTGAGAAAAGAAGAAAAATTCTACTTACAATTTTTAAAGTTATTATAACTTACGATATTGTGTTATTTATTATTAATAAAAAAGGACCAAAAAAGTATCTTGAAATGTAAGCTGATCCTATAAATAGGAGCTCGGGGAACCGGATCAAACAGATATCAATCTGTTTGATTTAGTCTTTCGAGAGTCATAAACGGTACTCCACTGTATAATTTTTTTTCCTATTGTCATACATCAAAGTTATGCAAACGAAAAAGGAAAAAGTTTATCTACTCAAATTTGTTAATTATTGAAAGGACAGAAGGTATGGTGCATTGTGAATTAGAGTGTGGTTGGTTGTACTGTACATAGTATTGGAGACATTCCTACAACAATTAGAAGCGTCATTGAAGTGTCCTTCTGCCTGTTAACCAATATCTTCGTGTTGTATTTCTGCTGACTCGTGATTTGCGTAAAAGTTTCAGAACTTTCAATCGTAGCCCACTAGACCGCAAATTACATGCATTTTCGAATGGACCATACATTTTTCATTGGCAAAAACGTTACTTTTTGTTTCAGGCAAGGAAAAACTACACTTCAAAATCTACGAAGAAAATATCTGAAGACATACATACATTTTGTTACTTCCTAAATAAATAAATAACGTTGTCATAAATCAACAATAATAAAAGTAATTTTAAAATTTTGTAAATTGGTGAATTTATATATAAAATTTTAAAGTTATTTATATTTTAAAATAATAAATATCTGTGTACGTCATAAGCAAACAATTCAAATATAAATGTTTTAAATATTTAAAATGAATTTCTCTCAGAGAAAAGCAAATATAAATAAATGAAAGCGAACAGTTATATAAGAACAGAATTTCAACAAATATTATTGCAAATACTGTAGTCTATATACAATAAAATCCTAGAAATCTCAAGATTACAAAGGCGCATATTTAATTATTTTAACAAGTTAAAAATTTACTATAAGAAAGGCACAAATTGTTATTTTCTTCGAGTTCCATAAAACCTCGAAATAACGGTCGTAACGTAAAACCTCCATTTACAATTGAAGTGATTTGTTACGAAGAGAAAGTAATCTTTGAAATATTCTTCTGAAAAATAGTATTACAAATTATTTCTTAAACATTAACCGAGACCGGATGGCCGAGCGGTCAACATGGCAGCCTACCGCCCTGGGGGACCCAGGTTCGAATCCGAACGGGTCGAAAAAACCCCAGGAGTTTTTCGGGGGGTGGTCCATTCGGATATGTTGGGCCCCGTCACTCACCACCCAGCAGCTCCATTGTGAGCCTGGCCGAACTCATAATGGGCTTGCAAAAAGAGGCACTCTTAGTGCCAACAGGGCGGAAAATGTTTAAATATATATATATTCAACAGTTTTATTGTAAATTAATGGCCAAATAACCAAACGAATTTAATTACAAGTTTATAGACACCAGAAAGTTAAGTAATTGAAATCCCCATTAATATATTCTATATTAGTGAAATTGCCATTTTTTTCCGTAATAACCCATGATGATGATAAAAAATTGAAACGTAATTAACAACAATATACTGTATTTATTGTTATTGTGCTTCTTATTGTGTAAAGAATCATTTCCGATCTTAATAATCACATTTTTTGCAGTATTAATCTTTAGATATAAATTTAAATCATGGCTATTTTTATGCAAATCAAAGCTTCGGTATGTAATTAATTGTTCATATCTTATAAACTTAAATATATTTTTCAAACTTGACATCGTTTTTCAGTCTAATTTATAACTGCAGACGGAGGTATTAATAATCTCTTTTCACGTCTAATAAGATTTATTATTGATTAATCTTGCAAGTAATAATTACAGAAAATATTTTATAACTTATTAGCATATCAATATTAAAAGCTAAAGAGTAAATAAAATCATATAATAATAACGACTTTAAATAAAATATCGTTTTAACAATATTCAATATTTAATACTATAGCAACTTTGTACTTAATAAATAATCAATGTTTAAATTATATTAGAACTAGCAGAAGAGCCTGGCGTTGCTCGGGAAAAAAGATAACAGCAAAGATTAAGATTATTACCTTCTACTATATTATATTTTATTATATGATTTATATTTACAAAGATTATCTTACGTAAGAGTTTATCACACCGAGTGGGCCCAGCGGTTCAGTCGCTAAACACTGGGAGTTCGATTGAGGATTCGCACCTCGTCCACGAAGAGTTTTCCGGGTTTTCTCCACCCTTTTAACGCCTGAATAGGGGCCAGTTATCCTTTAAAAGACCTCCCGGAAGGCATCGCCCAAGTGTTGTGTTGCCATAACTAAACAAACAAACATCACACCGAGTGACCAATCTAACACATTTTAAAAATTTTCTAAATTCTGTACAGTAGAGGA